TGATACTTAACTCCCGATATCTTGTTGGTTTGCCCACATTTTTGATGTTTAACTCCCCACATGTTGTTGCCTAATGTCGACCCTGGATTAATAAACCCCTGGGCTGTTTAATTGGGAGGGTACCATTTAAGTATTAGAATATGACTATTGGAGGAGTACCCCCCTAATTACCAGTAGTACCGCACAAGGCGGTGGCGGAAGTTTCAAAAATAGGAAACCTATAGGAGAGGTTGGTTGTTGTGAATCAGGGATGGCAGAGCGAAGCCACTGATGGAGCGAAAGGTGATTGATCTCTCTCACTATTTCTCTCTCTTTCTCTGACTATCCACCTACCTACCTACCTACCTATCTATCTATCTATCTATCTATCTATCTATCTATCTATCTATCTCTCTCTCTCTCTGTGTCTGTCTGTCTATCTATCTATCTATCTGTCTGTCTGTCTGTCTGTCTGTCTATCTATCTATCTATCTATCTCTCCATCTATCGATCTATTGTAGTTGTAGTTGTAGTTGTTGTGGTTGGTTGTTGTGGTTGGTGTTGTTGTTGTTGTTGTTGTTGTTGTTGTTGTTGTTGTCGAGGTTAGGGTAGTTAAGTTAGTGAAGTTAGTTAAGTTAGTCAAAAATAGTTAAGTTAATCAGTGTCTACTTTTTCGACATCTTCACGTCAAAAAAGGCTCAAAAACCCTCAGTTTTTTACACTTTTGACTTCGAAATGTGCTTCGCGCCACAACGGCGTGCACTTTTTCGACACTTTTTCCACATCGGAACCTCCAAAAGTGGTCCGAGACTGTCAGTTTTTTACACTTTTGACTTGGAAATGTGCTTCGCGCCACAACGGCGTGCACTTTTTCGACATCGCAACTTCCAAAAGTCGTCCGACACTGAGGTGTTTTCTACATTTTCACTTCGAAATGTGCTTCGCGCCACAACGGCGTGCACTTTTTCGACATCGCAACCTCCAAAAGTGGTCCGAACCCCTGGTGCTTTGTACATTTTGACTTCGAAATGCGCTTCGCGCCACAACGGCGTGCACTTTTTTGACATCTCAACTTCCAAAAGTGGTCCGACGCTGCGGTGTTTTGTACATTTTGACTTGGAAATGTGCTTCGCGCCACAACGGCGTGCACTTTTTCGACATCCCAACTTCCAAAAGTGGTCCGGACCTGGTGTGTTTTGTACATTTTGACTTGGAAATTTGCTTCGCGCCACAACGGCGTGCAATTTTTCATCTCTCATCTGGCCAGCTGGCTCCGCACCCGCCGCTTTAGCGAGCCTACTTTTCGACTCTCCGGAGCCACAAATCATTGGAAAAACACAGTGTTTTGCGACTTTCCTACCTTTTCGCGCATCTGCATCTTCTTTCTTCTGACTCTTTCTCTTCTGATCTTCTCTCTTCTAATCTTTCTCTTCATTCACTATTGAAATCCAGAAGTGCACTTAAGCAAATCACCGCTCTATGTAAGGGAGCAAAAATCCCTTTTCACTTCATCACTCCGAAGCGCTTCCGAGTGCCGCATGGGTCCCCCCTGTGATGGATCTATGGGGCGATTTTTTTTTATCGTTTTAGACCTGACCGAATCTTTTCAACATTCACTTAAGATAATAATTTTGTAGGCTTCCAGCACTCCGAAGCGCTTCCGAATGATGGAGTGATAGGGGTAACGCGCGCCTTCGTCTACAACAGTGATTTGCTTCAGTGCACTTCCACATTTTGGAATTCGTTGCTAATTTCATTTTTCAATCAATCATTCACCCATTTGATCAGTCCAAGGGTTTGATATCCACAGAATTCCAGCCGAAGATCAGGGAATACCATGAGTAGTAGATTTCCAGGGCCATATCAGCGATAACTGTGAATCCACAAGCTTGGAGTGGGCCCCCCCACTCACGCACCCCTTACACCAAAATTCATCATATTTAATTAACCATCACCACCCGCGCCATCATGGGGATGTGGGGACGTCCGATCAATATGTATAAGGGAAGGCATCTTTGAAATTCGGATTGTTAAAACTTTTTTGGTGCATGAGCAATACCTCATCCAACAAGGAATCTGGGAATTTGTTAAAACCGTGATATCGCATGAGTACCCTCTAACAAGTCCTTGGCTCAAACTTTACTTTTATGATAATTCATCCTCCGTTAATGTGACTTGGAATATTCTAATTAGACTATTTGACTACCTTAAGTGCTGGCAAGTATATACATGATTACATATATATATATACATCTAATAAAATATATATATATATATCAATATAAGCTATATATATAGTTATATATATATATGTTATATGCATCCGAAATTGGTCCAAGTCCCAGTGGAACTTCCCGGGCTTGAAGCCGCCAGAAGTTCGATGAAGGAGAAGAGAACCACGGTGAGGTCCAACCAGTTCCTGGGCTCTCGGTCGGCCATCAAGTGGGAATCTATATACTAGCTGGGTGGTCGAGCCCTACCCCGCTGGAAAATAGGACGGTGGTTTTGGGATGATTATTCCAGGTACTTCAATTCATTCTACCTCGGGAAAGGTTCTTTTCTCCCTGGCCCGCCCCGGCCATTTCAACATACGGGATCCACCTCATTTAAACATACGTTAAATACAATCGCTTTACCAGGGGTGGAGAAATTCGGGCAAAAATGGGGGTATCATTGTTTTTCCTTTATGAGCAGATAGATAAATTGGGTTGTATATGGCATGTCTGATTGGGGCATTTTACAGACATTCATTACTCACCCCCCTTACATCACCGTGGGCATCCAGTCATCCAGCTGGCCGCATGCGGAAGATAAAATTCGCCCTCTTATCAGAACAGTTTGTTGCAAGGGATGAACAACATCGATTTTCTCTTCGTGGGGTAAATCCCATACTCGCCAGAACATCGTCTTTTTTCCGCCGTCTTCTGCCGTTTGCGCCTCTCACCCCCCTCCCACCGGACGGCTTTGTGCTCGTCCGGTGGGAGGGGGGCCTGTATACAGCGGCGACTTCTGTGCTTGCCGCTGCCCTTCGTCCTTCGTTGGCCTGCGGCGGGGCGTTTTGGCAGGGCGACAAGGTCATTCAGTTCATTGATCGGAAATTTCCATCGGCCGGTATCATTAGAAGATGTTAATCCGCTCTCCCTCTCTTTCTATATCTTCATCATCTCTATATAGATCCGTGCATTTTATGAATTGGTCTTGCCAAGTATGAATTTTGAATGCGCAATCTCGAAGTTGCACGCCATTGCTTATAATTAAGTATAATGGTTTGAAATGTCGTTAGATGGAAGATGGAAAGTTGCCTTTAGCGAATAGTTATTTTCCTATGCTGGTGGTCTTCCCGGGCCCCAGCTGTATCCCCGGCCTAGGCTTCTTCCTCTTCGTTCTCTTCCTCTTCGTTCTCTTCCTCTTCGTTCTCTCTCAGACGGAAGAGCCGATTCCGAAGTTCGGCAACCAGCCGTGCCATCCTCCTTGGAAACGCCGCTGGCTGGTTGTGCCGGCGGACGTTGAGCCGGCAGCGGCGCGCGGCTGTGCGGAGAGCCCGCTTCAGCTGCCGCACCCTGAGGAGCTCGCGGGCAGTGCCCGTCACGATCTCCTTCGATGTGAATCAGACCAGGGCGGGTCCAATTTAAGGGGCCTAGAATTGTACAGATAGATAGGCATAGCTAGATCGTAGAGGCATACACACACATAAAAATATATAAATATATATATAATATATATATATATTTATCTATCTTCCCTGCTCTGCTTTTCATCTGTCCATATTGTCGGAAGTTTGACTTCTAAACTTCCTTCGAATAAACCATGGTTTATTAATCCGGGGTTGACATTAAACCATATGAAACCCCCTACTTTTGATGTTTTACAGGCTTTGTTGTTTCAAGCCCCAAGCTGCCTCGTCACCCATGTAGGAGCCCCAAGGGGTATTCTCCTGGGCCAACACTGGAAATCAGTGGGCAGTGGCAGTATTCTCTTGACTCAATCCATAGGTACTTACAAACAAATCTGATTCTAATCAAGGATGCTAAAAAAACAAGTCAAGAAGTGCACCAGCCTTCCCCATATGCTCCATGGTGCTGGTATATTCAGCAACATTTGCCCTTGTCCAAAATCACCCAGCCATGTAGGTAAATATACCAGCACCATGGTTCGCATATGGGTTCAGGCAAAACAAAGATGTGAATATCTTCGATTTTGGGCCATCTACCCATCATCTTGCCATGAAAAATTCCATGCGCCGTCGCATGGGTCCAAAAAGTCGAAGCCCCCGTAGCCCCCGTACCTTCGCCAGTCGGGTACGGCTTGATCCGTAGGTGTAGATTCTTATAGATAGATAGATTCGATTGGATTGGATTAGATTGGATTGGATTTAGATCAGATCAGATCAGAAGAGATTAGATAAGATTAGACTAGACTAGACAATAGTTAGGACAGTCATAGATATAGCTTATGGCTCAAGTATTTTTTCCCTTTTTAGTTCACATCAGTTCACATAAAGATAGCTGGTAAATTGTTCTATAGATCTTCATCCCCCAACAACAAATATATTTACAGTGCCAATCTTAGATACCCTGCAAAAATAAAAAAAATAGCTGGTGAACGTAGATAATCCCATTGATACCAAAAGACTAAAGGATTAGTTTCTACCCATCTAAGATTGACCTATATATATATATATCCATAAATAAACCTGTCGATATGATATGGTTATGGATCATTTTTTACATGTTTTTCCTTTTTACCATCAGAATAGCTGCTATTTATACTGGTTGGTGGTATACCTACCCCTCTGAAAAATATGACGTCGTCAGTTGGGATGATGACATTCCCATATATGATGGAACATATGAAACATAAAAGCTGGTTGGTGGTTTTACCCATCTTGAAAAATATGAAAGTCAATGGGAAGGATGACACTTTTTCACTTTCGCGGTACTGTGCATGGTGCACTCGGTCTTGCAACGCAGTGGATGAAGCGCCTGCAGAGGTGCTGTACAAACGCCTTAGCCATGATAGTCCGGTTGGACCTGGTCACAGGCAACAAAAACCTCTTCTGCATAGCGCTGGAAAATCTCAGGCAGCACATCAGTGACGGAGTGGGACTCAGCGCTCGGAAATGTCCTCTCAACGTAACACCTGATAGCATGCCCAAGCGCCCTATTCATATGGGGCGGGTACACTTTGCCACGCGCGGTTCTAACCTGGCCCTGGGAATCACGACCGATCAACTTCTCATGCGCGTTCCGACCATGGGCGCATCTGCCAGCTCTGCCTGCAGCCAAAACAGTTTCTCTGAAATCCCATAGCCTAACCAAAAGCAAAGTGGTGGGTTTTTTAATCGGTGCGTGAAGCACACACTGATCAAAGGAGACAATGGACACACATTGCAATTGTCGCATCTTCTTGGTGGCTTCGAAAGACCAAATGCTGCACGGCGCTTTGGAAGCACACCACACTGGAAACTGCGGATGCTCGCAAAATCCGCACCCTCCAGTGCGTGCCAACAAAAACAAAATATCCAGAATGAACTGGACCAAACGTGTTCCAATAAGAACCTGTCTCCACTCACGGGCCGAAAGATACGGCAAACCTGTCAAATCCGCAGCCGAGCGTACTGCCCGAGGTCCATCCTCAGAAAGTCTTGCGGATGTAAAAGTCTCACAAGGCGGTCCACCGCCTGCTCCAAAAATACGGCCACAAAGAACCTGGTTACGCCAGAAAGCCAACGATGCATCTGAAGCCAAATCACCTGCTGCCTTCTGAAGGCACATATCCACCGATAATGCGAAGATCTGCAAACCATCAGGAAGGATTTGATGGGACAGAATGTCATGCAAATCATGCCGTCGGCGAAAACCGCTGAAGAAATGCACGAAGACCAAAGTTCTCAAATTCATCCGCATAGTCAGGGCAGGCAACCCATCTCGGAGGAAGAGCCCCGCTCCGTCAAGGGTACCTTGTTCGGACTGAAAGACAAATCCGATGGCATTTTGCTGGCATGGAGAAGGTGATGCCGGTTCAACCGGGTCACTTGCAACCATACGACCCTGCAATTGCATGAACGCTTGCCCAGCAGGCTGAGAGCGAGCAACACAACGCGCATATAGGTCTCTGGCAGCGTCACTGTTAGCAGGCGGCAACAGAGGTCCAAAGGCTCGACAGGCAGGAAGGAGAGCCTTTGTTCGCCACCAACCCTGTTTCTTGAGCTCAGCGGTCACACTGTCATCCAATCGATCCAGTGCCTCCACCTCCGCATCAGCCATAGGCAAGAAACAAGCCTGCAAAATTTCCATACAAGCAGTACTGTGGGTAAGATGCTGACACAACCGCATGCGACAATGATGAATCTTGCAACAAGCCGGGCATGTGTCACCGGAGGCAAAGAATCGGACCAGTCTGCGATATCCATGCACCCGTTGCGAGTGGGTGGCTAATGCCTTTTTTGAAGCAAACCACTTATCACATTGGTCGCATTGCCAACGAGGGTCATCGGTTTCATGGGTATGGACTGGAAGGCCTGTGTCAGCATGAAAACTACGGTCAAAGGCCTTTTGCCACACTGCATATTCAGCCTTAGCTTGACGATAGCGACAACTCTTCCTCAGCGCAGATTTAACCCGTCCTTTCCATGCAAAATCGGTCTGAACTGCAAGCACCCATTGGTCAAGTGGTGCATCTGGTGCAAGCTTCCAGCCAGGCCCATAAAAGGTACAAAACCATGTGAAAGAGTCTACAAGCAGAGCGCCCCATGTGCCGGGAAGATGTCGAGTGTGACAAATGAGGCTCCAGAGGGATCCCGGGCACTGGCGAATGAGCCGTGAGAAATACCTCAAACGTGCAGCATGTAGGCGGTCCTGAGGTGTCTCCAAACCAATCAAGCCTCCTAAGGTCGCCACATCAAACAAACGTGGAGGAAAGCCTTTGGTAGCAGTCTTGGCTAAAGAGCACAAGGGCTGCCGAATAGAATTGGCCCATTTGTCAAGATCTGCGGGCTTGATGGTACTCCACGTGTGGACATTAAACATGTGACGGGAAACAGCCAGGGCACGAAACACTTTTACTTTAGTAGGAGTGGAGACGTACTTTTTGGCAAAGAACTGTCTGGTGAGGGAGCCCCAGGACGACCTAGCTCCATGAGCACGGGTCTGAATTTCTTTGAGCAAACAACCCCCACTTTGGAGCCATGTTCCAAGATGTTTATACGTCTGCACAACTCTTAAGGCAAAGTCAACTCCATGAGCAGTCCATGTGATGGTTTGGTGAGCGGCCATCAATTGTTGCTTGAGTTGTTTGGAGCCACGGCCTTGCACGTGCCACAGCATCTCTGTCTTTCCTGCATCAAAGTTGAGGTGTAACCCTCTGCGCCGAGCTGCCACATGCATTGCAGAGACTACTTGCTGAGCAATGGTCTGCAGTTGGGACAAATCCTCGGCATGGATCGCAACTGCACAGTCATCGACAAATGAAACATCTGCGAACCCCTGAGCTGGGAGGGCACCAGGCGTACTAAAGTCACTGCACTGAGAAGGATCACCAAACCACTCTGCAACCTCAGATTGAAGGACAAGATCTTTCATTTCCGCCAGAATCTGACTCATCGTGAGATTAAAGAGGAGATCCCCAATCGGATCGCCGGGTCGGGTGCCTTTGTGAGTGGCAACAGGCGAGTCAATGCCCTCGACTGTGAAGTAAGTGCCTGACATGGTGTCATGGACGAGTCTTTCAACGTGCTGGGTCACACCCTCAACCGCATTCTCATGAGCTACTGCCTGCAGGATGTCTCCAACCTCAGCGTCGCTGAGCCCAAGCTGATGCATTGCAAACTGAAAAGCATTGGAGGTGTCCTTACAAGACGTGAGGGCTTGCCGCAAAACGGAGTAAAAAGCTGCTTTCATGTCAAAGAAAACAATCGCCGCAGGCTTTTTTAAGTGGCGCGCCCAGCACTGATGCATCTGGAGAAAATGATGCGGCAGGTCAACACCGCATCCCGCTCTGCCTCCGAATTGCATGGAGTGCAATCCTGCCGACCAATTCTGCTCTAAAGGTTTACGCAGGCAGGCATGATATACCTTGGCTGTGAAATCAGAGATAAAGATTGAGCGAAAGGAAGTTGCCTCATGCGGGCTTCCTTTACCCTTATACAAAGGGATCAACTTACCCCCACGCCAAGAGGTTGGCTCATGCACGTGTGCAATGACCTTATTTGTCAGGCAAGAGAGTTGCATGGCAAAGGTGGATCCACCTGCTTTCAGCAAGTCCGGAGGCATGCCGTTGGGTCCACATGCCTTACCCCGACGCAGTTTACGGATGGCCTGCATCAGCTGCCACGGAGAGACAAAGGCTTGAGGGTCGAGCTCAAAATCAACTCTGGAAATGCCTGGCCGACACAAGTCATATAGAGCAGTCCATGACAAAGGGACTCCGGCTTCAACTTCGGCAAATTGCTTAAGCCATACCTGCTGCTGTTGGTGAAAAGACTGCAGATTCGCGCCATTGAGCCCTTTGAGCATAGGCAAAGGACGGGGACCGCCTTGCTTGGCCCGCTTGCGCCCAAGTCGGTCAAGAATGCGGTACAATTGCTTCGCATCTGCAGCTTGATCGGCATGTTGAAGACGAACAAGGAGTTGATCATAGAAATGAGCAAGGTCCGAATGGACGGCGGTACGAACAACCGTTTCGACTTGCTTCAATTCTTGCTTGAACTCTGAGTCTGTCATGAGATTCCAAGCTCGTCCAACGTCGAGCAAATTGCGCTTAAAAGCAATCAACTGGACCGTTGCTGCAGTAAGCTGAGGACGTGCACGCTTGCGAGTTTTCTTGCCAAAAAACTGCTGACCTAGTTGCACTACTTGATCTTCAAAGATGCGGCAATGATCGGTCACCTTAACATCCCACGTAGGCAGTGGTAAAGTTCTCAAAGCATCCTGAAACTGAGCAACAGTAATAGGATCCAAGAAAGCCATTTCGTCCCAAATCAACCGCCTCTTGAATGTGTCTGACGGCAGATATGCAGCGAAATTTACTCCCGTCGGGATGTGATCTTCATGGCAAAACGAACCATCATAGGAAACCACAGTGAAGGAGTCCTGCACACAAGGCAAAAGTGACACAGGAACAAGCACGTAGTCCCGCCGGCAGCGAGCCCCGGAAGAGTGGGTCCATGTCCAAGAGTCACCTGAATGCAAGTGTGAAAAGGTGGCTGGAACTGCCAAACTGTGCCTCAGTAGGAAATCCTCAAACAACGTACCCTGTGGGTTAGTAGGTTCGGCATGCGCAAGATCAAAGCAGTGAGTCGCTTGCGAAGCCAACGGCGCATTTGCATCAACACAGACCCAATGGTACGTTGTGGGCGCACAACCATCAAAAATGCGAGAGGTTTCCTGCCACCAGTTCTCAATATCGTCAATGGGACGATGACCGTTACCTTTGGTCTTTCCTAGGCAAGGGACATGTAAAACTGAGACAGTAAATGAGCAAGAAGGATGGTCAGCACGTAATAGTAATCTACGAGGGTCAGCGTGAACAACTGCAAACTTGAAGTCCTGAGCGCAAACATGGGACCCATCCGGAAGAACCACAAAAGGACGAGTACGATGTAACCAAATCTCACAACCGAATCTCGGGGCTGATGAATCTTCAAAGCCAGAAGCGAAAATGAGAAAATGGTCAGTCACATGTCTACCAGGAAGAGTTCTGGCTTCTTGAAGTCCAATGATATGTGCTTGCTCTTGATGCCACAACAGGTCAAGACGAGCAGTTCGTTGTCCTCGTTGCCTGCCAACGTGAACCTGCTGAGTAAGTGAATCAAGTGCCAAAACATTGAGAGAAATGACCTTAAGCTCACATTTGCAGGGGTCTACCGAAGGTTGAATGACTTCGGAGTCACGATTGACCTTGCGTAAGGAGAGTGGAAACTGGCAGACCTGCTGGTCAACAATCGGAGGCAAGACCTGAAACAAGGACTCCGGACCACCCTGGAGCCATGACCAGTGCAGGTCACCAGCCGCAGCAACAAGATTGTGTAGAACGTCAACTGCATGCACCACACCCGGCTCGTGATGGAGTGCCCAGCGTGCCATGGCATCGGCAAGATCGTTCCACGGATGCGCCGAATGCCCACGAACTTCGTGGACTGATGCATCTGGAGGCAACCATGCAGCAAGGATAGAAATGAGCTGAGCCAAACGAGGATTGGAGTCAGTGACGCATTGCTGGGCAGCAAGTAGGGCGCTGAGCTGCAAGTCTGGCCGAACCACCGAGCTAACCGGTACCATGCGACAAGCAAGGTCCAATGCAATGGCAAAAGCCGTGAACTCCGCAGAAATGTTGTCAATCCTTTGTGCTCCAATCCAGGCGTCCTGTTCAGCGGACAATTCAACTTTGCCAAAGAGGGTGCCTACAAAATGGCTTGCATGACCATCAGTACGAACCACCACAACACTCCATGCCGCAGACAACTCATTGGTGGACCCATCAACATACAACTCAGCCCAAGATGGACGATCCGGATCAAACGGGGTATCGTCAACCAAGGCCCAATACATGGCAGGGGGAATCGTAAAACCCTCTGGCAAAGGCAAAAGCTGAGGCAGTGGTTGATCAAAAATGCGCGCTCGCCAATCCGGATGTTCAAACATGGAAATGGTAGGCAATGCATCATCAAACTGACGTGCCGATGGTCTGGCGGATGCAACCGGCACAACTGCTTGCAAAGACAGTTTCACAGGCTGACCAGTGCATGGGCGAGGCACTGGCTCTGGCATCGAAAAAGAGGCTTTGAGCAGGTGAGCAAACTGGGTATCTGAAAGTCCAATCCATGAGTCAACGAAATAACTGGGAAAAATTCCAAAACATTCGGCATGGTGCACACCCGGGGGACCTACAGGGGGGACGGGCCCAGCACCCCATGTGAAGGTGCAATCCCCAACTCGGGTACTAGCGCCTAAGCCCTGGTGCTGGTGCAAGGCAAAAGCGAGAGTCATTGGTGTGATGGGTTCAGCCACAACCGCAACACAAGGCTTAATGCGTGGAGGGGCAACAGCAAAATCATGCAGCACGAACACGACAGAAGCAAGATCGGGGATAGGGTTTTGCAACAACATGACATGTGCATCAGACGCATCTCCAAGAGGCAAACCTCGCGGCTGAACGAGCAAAACTTGAAGTTGGGATCCCCTGTCCAAGCACGAAAGCCATGGTTGGGTAAGGGTGTCAAGCCAAGCATCGTCCGAAACATCGAGCACAACCAATGCTGAACCAAGGCAGTCATGTGGTCGCAAATGATCCGAGTACCAAACTGTCACCCTCAAGGGGCCAACGTCTTCACGAGCAGATTTGCCAAGCCATGCATCAAATTCTGGACTAAACAAAACCCTAGAACAGTCCGCATGATCAGAAAGGCGCAAACAGGTGGGGACCTTAACTGAAGTGGACTGCGAACAGGGGACGTCCGAAGGCTTGATGCGACAACAGCCAGGGTCATCACTCGCAGCAAATGGATGCCCGGCACAGGCTTCTTGCACACGCAGGAGTTCAATGCACTCGTGTTGGACGGCTGAAATTTCACTGGCAAGACAGGCATTGGATTGGATCCAACCAGCTTGTGCATCAACCGCACGATCAATAGCTGTGACAACTACCGTGATCAGTGTGGCCAGGTGTTGAAAAAGCCATTGCACATGGCTGGGGTGCCGATCATACGAATCAGTGCCAATGGCAACAGTGGCTGCAGGATCAACGGTACACAGAAATCCATCACCAGATTGTGCATCACGAAGAACGTCTTGCAAAACCGGTTGGTCACCATAAAACGCTGCGCAAGTGTTCAATGGAATGAACGGTGGACAAAACGGAAGGAGTCCACTCTCTTGCAACAGCAGGCCTTTGTCAACGACCGCAGGCAGCTTCAAGGCAACACGAGGAGGATCATATGGATCATCACCGGGCGCAAGTGTGGTGATCAATGATGAAATGAATCCACGATGTTGATGCTGAGCCAGGATAACATGCGCGAGGATGTCCGTGGGGCCACCGAATGGCTGAGGGTCGACTACATATATAAAGACCTCTGCACTGGGGTCGATGAAATCTTGCCACTTAGTCAAGAGGGCATCCCTCCACGAGTCTTGGTCAGGTGGAAGTTGAACTTCACGACCGCGATCAGTGCGAGGAAATCTGTCATGGTCACAATACCATGTTTCAACGTAGAAACGGAACGGTCGAGCAGTGGCAGTGATTAAATACCGTTCCCAAATGACGCGAAGCTCTGGCACCAGTCTGGAAGGGGCATGCTCAATGCAGGGACCAACATCATTAGCAGCCCAACACGCATTCGGATACAAGGAAGCATCCTCAGGCCGAAAGGACATCCTGGCAGGAATATGCGATGAGGACGCTGTGTCGGGAATCGGAAAACCGTCATCATCAACCTGCGCAAAACGGTTACGAAAAGGTGTGACCGTGAAGGAAATTCCAAGGCCTTGTGAAATCTGTTCCAAACGCGAGCGATGAAATTGCATACGACCTGCCCATGCCGTGCAACGACGCTGACGGCACAATTCCTCAATGTTGAGAATGCGCTCAATCACTTCACGGGACA